AATTGTCCCTCTTTTCTGCAGTCCTGTATCCATATGGGACCCAGTCCTGTCTGTGTTCTGGGCACATCCAAAATTCCTGCTGAATGACCTGCCGTGGGAGCGAGTTACCAGTGAGCCAGGGCTGGGGCGACAGGAGGGTGCAGCGGGTGGGGGAAGAGGGGGCAGCCAAAATTTTTTTTGCTTGGGGCAGCAAAAAACCTAGAGCCGGCCCTGCACTCACGTACTCAAGGAGCCAGAACAGTACAGGAGGGGCAGCAACTCTTCTTTTTTCTCTTCCAAGACAAAAGTGGATAAAACAAAACAGAACTATCTGCTGGTCCCTGAGAGACTTTCTATTCTCTTCACCATCAGTCCCAGGGAACTTTCTGACTATGCTGACAGTGTTCCCCAACCACACCTTATCATTAGTACTGTTTCCACAATACTATTCATATGGAGCCCTGAAATTGGCTGCAAGATTTCTGAGGGTAAAGTTGCATGGTCCAAACATGTAGCCAATACCCTCCTCTGCTTTTCTTTTAGTTCCATTAGTCATCAGCTCCAAGTTGCTTATTAAGTCCTTGACAAGTTGATACAAGATTGGAGATGATCTTCTGCTGGGGTGGCAACACTAGGGAAAATGACAAATTTTCTTTGGTATTATTCCGCTCCTTGCCACAGCCTGTCTCGCTGAGATTTCTTGAAAGAGAAGCTATCTGCCTTTCCAAACAATCAAGGCTGAACGAGGAAATGACGGCTCAGTGATATATGAGAAAGTAATTTTAGGAGTTATGATTAATCTTATGGGATACAAACAGCACTTTTTAAAAGCAGAGAAAAAACAAGAGCATGACTCATGTCACTGCATAAGTTTCTACTGTGCAGTTTCTGTCGTAAAATGAAGCAGCAGCATAGCTGCCCTGACAGCCAGGTGATACAGGGAGCTGGATGAAACACAGGGAATGCGTTTAACGTACACTGTTGCATCCCTCTTCCAAAAAGATCCAAATGCGCTTTGCAGACGGTATATATTAGGATCACTCATTGACTATTAAAATGACACTACATCT